TTCACACACACACTGAACTTACACACAATTCTCCTTCTTCTTCTCAACCCAGACATTCCCTCAGACACACTCACTTCCACTCACATACACACGTACAATCTCACTCCACATATAATCAGACTGTCACACACACATACACACACACACATACACACACACACACACACACACACACACACACACACACACACACACACACACGGGAAGCGAACTCAGGCCCACTGCGTGTAACCGCTGCACCAAGTAGGCCCACAACATAGTAAATACAATTCAATGGCATCAAGGCGAAATGAAATCTAAAAAAAAGTTGGATCGAAGGAATCTAAGAGACCCCACCGAAGGAACAACATGACGATCCAAACAGCAGCACATCTGACCCACTTCGAACAATTGCATCTTCCCTCGACGCCTGTTTTCTCGACGTTTCCGACAAATTATGGGATAGAGCATTTAAAGCCCTAGAGAGGAAACTGGTCACATGCGAGATGAAATGCTTAAGAAGAGCGGTCAACAAAACAAGAAGAGACAAAATCAAAAATGAAGACATAAGGGACATCGTAGGAGCAACACCAGTCCTACCACACATTGAAAAACAAAAGGTCAAGTGGTTCGGACACCTCACGGGGATGCCCTCAAACTAGACGGTCATATAATCAGGCCACCTGCGCGCTACTGACCTAGATTCCTTGTGGGCTGACACACCCGTGTAGTAGGCCCACAACCTTGTAGATCATTAGTAGTGATAAGCCTACGCAGGGTGCGGCGGTCAGTTTGAATTGTTGTTTGCTCATGCTTTGACATTGGATTATTTCTGCCTAATGCAGTTTGCTTTTCAAGTCATCTGGATTATGTGAATATTTTCTACATCAGTGTGTGTGTTGAGGAACAGAAGTGGTGACTAATTAATTAATTAATTAAGATTGACCAACAGTTTTGAGATCGCAAATTTGAAGTGCTGTTTGGCTGTACTGTAGGCCTACTGTTCATTTTCAGATTCTTCATCACCATAGTACTCAATGCTTTTTTCAAATCATCTGGATTGTGTGAATATCAAATATCTCTTCCATCAGTGTACGTGTTTAGATTAAACCTACAGTGAAGTTTTGACCGTGCAAGTTTAATTCATATCTGTCTAAAATCCATGTCTACACAGTGGAGGCCCCCCTCCTGATCCTCACACTCTTCACTGACTTAGAGCCTCTCTATGCAAACAACCAATAAAAACTAACTCTCCATCCTATCCCTAGATCTACTTTTATATTTAGATTAGTTTGTAACACAAACAATAGGCTAAAAGGACCATGTAGATATAAATCTATATATCTAGACTCTGAGCGTGTAGGGGCCCACCCTTGTTAGGTAGGGAAAAGTATACGGATCATAATTATGGGGGAGCTCCTTTGTGTTTTTCCCGGCCTGCATTGTATATTAATATATCTGCTGTTCTTTCACAGTGCTTACATGCTTCTCTTCTAGGCCTATTTATTGCTTTCATCATGTGTGGTTATGACTCTGTTGGACTGTGACTGACACTTTCAAAATAAACTGAAGGAATAAGAACAACAATGGGTAGAAAATGCTCAGTTGGTGGATGCAAAACTGGCTATGACAGTCAGAAAGGTGCAGAAAAAGTGACCTTGTATGGATTTCCTTCGGATGAAACAGAATGTCGGGCATGGATTGCTAGCTTACCAAACATTTTATCCTATGAAAAGGTGTCAAGATAAAAAAAACATATCAGTGTGTGCCCTCCATTTCCGTAAAACTCTAACTCAACTCAACTTTCTGTCTTTCCATCGTTTTTGTCTGTCTAGAATTTTTTTTTTACATGTCCATTAGTTTGAACACAAACACAGGGAAGCTAAACCATTGAGAGAGAGAGAGATAGATAGAGAGAGAGGGGGGGAGGGGGGGATTGAGAGGGAGAGGGGGAGAGAGAGAGAGAGATTGAGAGGGAGAGAGAGAGAGAGAGAGAGAGAGAGAGAGAGAGAGAGAGAGAGAGAGAGAGAGAGAGAGAGAGAGGGGGGGGGGATTGAGAGGGAGAGGGAGAGAGAGAGAGATTGAGAGGGAGAGAGAGAGGAGGGAGAGAGAGAGAGAGAGAGAGAGAAGGGGAGAGGGAGAAAGAGACCGCCTAGCCGTGGCCGTTGTAATCATTATTATCATTACGAAGGTCACTGCTTGCTGTGGGCCGAAGCCTGAGCGGCTGGTGTGCCAGCCCACAAGCAAGGTGTGTAGTTCTTGGGCTGCGCTGGCTGATTTATGATCGCCTAGCCCTCAAACCATCCAGCTCTGAGAGCATACAACATTAAATATTCTGGATGGAGAACCAGAGGAAGACCAAGGCGATGATGGAGTGAATCTGTGGCAGACACCCTCCGAGCTCTCGGGATGTCCCTTCTACAGACCACTCGCCTTGCTGCAGACAGACGCCTGTGTCTCCCCGCGACTCCCCCCCCCCCCCCCCACCCCGTACAAGCGGAAGAAAAAACGTTTTTTTTAAAAGTAAAGCATATAGAGAATACGAGGTTTTAAGGGCAAATCAGTGAGAAAGCGGCCACATTAGGCATGGATCGCATAGAAAATAAGACTGTAAGAAAAAAAAGAAGAGACAAAGTTGTAATCTCCACTATAGAGGGGACCCAATGATCGTTCCTCTACCCCTCTGAAGCAGTTTTTCTTTCTCTTGTTTCATAGTCCCTTATCTAAAACAGTTCTCTTTGCTTTTTAATGTGCGTGGTGAAAGAGATGTCTTACGCTTAATATAACGGGATGTAGATCTTTTTAAAAACGGGTACTTCTGCGTGGAGAAAATGAAGACCTCTCTCTCTCTCTCTCTCTCTCTCTCTCTCTCTCTCTCTCTCTCTCTCTCTCTCTCTCTCTCTCTCTCCCTCTCTCTCTCCCCCTCTCTCTCTCTCCCCCTCTCTCTCTCTCTCTATCTATCTATCTATCTATCTATCTATATCTCTTTCTCGTTCTCTCTGTCTATGTGTGTCTCTTTCTTTTTGCTTCATTCTCTCTACTTCATTCTGTCCCTCTCCCACTCCATTCCCCCTCCCAGCCCCCTCCCCCTTTCCTCTCTCTCCTCTCTCCTTTCCTTTCTCTCTCCCTCCCTCTACCACCCTCCCGCACGCCACACTCTCTCTATTTCTCTTCTCAGGGTCCTTCGTAGCTCCTTGCCCAATGTCAAGTCAGACTGGTTCTCTCTGTGTGTATTTCGTCACAAAGGCTTATTCCAGTCTTGAGACCGTCCAGTGCGAAGTGTTTTAAGTGACCAGCACAGCATTATGTAACTAGCCCACAAATGTGTTAGCCGACTTGGCCGAAGGAAAACCCAAATATTATATGTGAGGCAGCGTGGTGGAATCAGGCTCTCGTCAATTTTTGGGCATGTAGAGTTATTGGTATCATCTTAAAACTTAATCACTTGTCTTTATTTGGGTGAAAAAAATATCCATTATCTTTAATACAAGTCGAGATATTTGCGAAAGAAGGAGGTGGGGGTAACTGTTTCCAGAGGTAAAATTAGTGAGAAAATGACCGCCAAAGGTTAGTAATTTCCTTAGCTTAAGAGTCAGTGGTAACTGAAAATTTACATTTTCTGTGCCTTTAATCAACGTTTTTCAGAAAAATCCA